TCAGAACTGACTCGACGGCATCTAACAACAATAGCAAGAGGGATTGGTTCAAGCATTTCAAAGTGAGTGCAAATTTATATAAAATTAAACAGTAAGGAAGAGTTGGCCGTAGGTCTGATATTTGTAATCCAAGGAGGACTGGCTGTAATCTCATCCCAAAGACATTGTTGATTTTTTTTTTTTTTTTTTTAAAGCATCATATCTATATAAGACTCTACATTTAAAAATACATTCACCAAATCCTATAAGATATGAAAGAGTAAATTTGCTTCAGGAATTGTGATGTGGCATTTGTTACTAGAGAAATTTTTCTAAATGTCAAAACAGTTCTAGTATAGAGAAATACTTTGCTTTGCTCAAAATAAGTAAGTAAATTCTTCTTATTTTATTCCTGAATAAAGTTACATTTAATAAAAGGTATCCTTCAGTGTTATGTTTTGTGGGGCTGGTGAGGGCAGAGAGGTCTTTTTTTTCTTCTTCTTCTGCCTCTGAGGCTGTACTAAGGGCAGTATCCTTTACTTAGAGGTGGTAAACTCGGTGAACCTTGTATTGTGAGACACGTTGAAACAGCTGTTGTAAGTGGTCCTGTGGGTTAATGTACTGGACTGCAAGCAAGGTCAACAGTTCGAGCTCACTAGCCACTCCTGGGAAACCCTATATAGGGTCACTATGAGTTGGGACTGACTGGATGGCACTTAAAAACAACAATATCTGCTTCTCTAATATGTAAACACACGCACAGTTCATTTATATTGAAGCACTACACTAAATATGTCTTTAATGCTAGATAAGGTATTTTCTTGGCCATTTATTTTCTTCTCTGGTTTATTCATGGATTTCTATTTTGGATCAATACTTTTCATTGAATCTAACTAAGAATCAAGTCTCTTGTGCACCAGCTCTGTAGCTTGGTAGTTTTAGACATAAAATCCTTTCAGATTAAGAAGGGACACTTTCTATGTACTCTATCAAGGATTAATGCTACATCATCTTTGATGAGCTAACAATGATTTGGCTGAAAGAAAAAAATATTTTAGGAAGACAGATTTTGTTGTTATTTTTCCCAAGATTTGATCACCTTTTTTTTTTTTTTAAACATTCCTACAGTAAGGGTCGTTTCTGTCTTCTAATGTTTCCCCCGACATGTGTAGAGTAGTTGAAGGAATGCCTATAGCTGGCTATCAGAAAGCTTTACCCCTGGATCTGATGCATGCCAGTCACGGCCAGAGTCAGGGGGCTTTGGTCCTGAGTCATTTCCAACCAAGGTTTCCAGAGTATTCATTGCCATCCAATGGGCCATTTAATCTCACTGCTCTGAAGGCAGATTTTTAAATGCTTTTGAGTTCTCAACAAGTTCTAAGTAAGAACCATTCTTGTCTGGACTTCACTAAATGAAGTGAGAGTGAGGACAATTGTGGAGGAGGGGGCCCCAACATTTGTGGAGTGCCTGGTGAAGTACTGTAGGGTAAGCACTGAAGTGCTCACCATCACGTTGGCACCAGCTGCTCCGTGAAAACCCTATACAAGTTTGGTATGAGTCAAAACTGACTCAATGGCACTTAACAACAACATCCCCTATCCAGTTGATCCCTCTTGATTCTTCATCATGCATTGGGCGTTGTCACCTTCATCTTTATAAGAAAATGCTGAGTCTCAAAGAGGTTATGTAACTTGTTCAATGTCATTTAGCAAGTACATGTTCAAATGAAATTAGACCCACATCAATCCAGTATCAAAAAATAAATGCTCCTCAAAGAGAACTTTGTTGTTGTTAAACTGAAGTAAAAATGCGTTACCACAGATGGGCCTTGCTTCTCCAGGGACTCCACCAGCCCCATTTGGACCTTTAGTGGTCCTATGCAGAGAAGAACATGGAGGATAGTTTTGTGTCACTCTCTTGCTTGATTCCTGTCCTTTTAGTGTCTGTTTGTAAGTGTGGTGACTATTAACTTATTAACCAGATTCTGAAATTACAGAAAGATTATACCAATTTCATTTTCATTTTAATAGGATGGATTTTTTGTTTCAATATATCATATTTTAAAATAGTTGACAACAGAAACACTTTTTCCTAAAATCACTAAACATCCATTTATAATTAAAATAAATCCTGAGACATTTAAAGAGTAGATAACAGCATGATAACATCTATGGTATTAATCATGCTTGATTATTTGTATCAGCATTTTTCAAGCTGGGGGAACTGAAGAAAAAATTCAAGCCTTGACTTTCATTATTGAAAGACTCTCTGGGCAAATTTTTGAATGATGCAGAAAGCATCAAGAGAAGATGGAAGGAATACACAGAGTCATTGTACCAGAAGGAAATGATTGATGATCAACCGTTTCAAGAAGTAGCATATGATCAAGAGCCAATGATACTGAAGGAGGAAGTCCAAGGTGCATTGAAGGAATTAGCAAAGAACAAGGCACCAGGAATTGATGGAATAAAAATTGAAATCTTT